AAAACTCAAAAGGCGTTTTGAAACCACAACAGGAAACCAGCGTAATGGTATTGTGTAACGAAACCTTCGCACTGGAGCGAAACGAAATGTCATTATTGAAAAAGCCTCTCCTATAGACGGGAGGAGGGTGCGTTTTTTTGGTGGTGAGTCACTTAAAACTGAGGTTCAACCAGGCTAATGTTAATATGCATGCATGGTAGATTTTGAGCTCAATCAGATTGCAACGCAAGATTTTTGCCCTAATCCCTATGTTTCATTATCAGTCTGCCAGACGATTAAGACATTGCGAGCCATCTTACGGTAACCATGCTGAAGCATCAAGTCAGTTCTCCTGGTAAGGGTAGTTCTAAGAAGGACCTTTATTTACCGGAACTGACGTTTCATCCGGACTCAAGTTTAAAAATGATGTGAGTACAGTGCTATAAGTCCGTTTCCTGTGAGCTGAATGGTAAACTTTGGTTTGCAGTGATGTTATGAGCTGCAAGTCGCAATTGTCGTAGGCCGGTCGTAATTGGTAAATTTCGTTTCTTTGGTAATGTAAAGTCGTTCTTTTCAGTAAAATATTGTAATTAAGGCGTCTGTACGGTGACGCTCCGAAAGATTGTTACACTTCCTGTCATCTGAGTTTGGTCGGGTCTCCCTATGATTTTCCCGATGATTAAATTGAGCATTAGTTGGGACGATAGGTAGGATCCTGACAAACATAGAGAAATAACGCCTGGCTGATTCCAACGAAAAATTTTTGACATGGAAGAGAATTTCGAGGAAAGGATATTTGGGATGCACCTTTGTACCATTAAATTTTCCGCTGGAAACTCAATTTAGTTTCCTTTTTCCAAAGGAGAAAAGATATTAAACTAAACTTATACCTCAAGCAAAGGTCAATCACAATAAATATTATTTTAAAGAAACATGGACTAAGAATGTTCAAATCTTAGAATTCCAACCACTTGCATTTTTATCTTATCTTTGTGTAGTTAAAGTAGGCGACATTGTTGCTCTTGGTAATCGATCGATATAACTGTTATATCTGTAGCATGCATTATGTATTGGTCACTCAGTGATATCAAATTTTCTATTTCCAAAACATTTTATATATTATGTTGATGGTGGGCGAGAGCTTGGTTTTTCAAAAATTAGATTTGTCTGTATTTTTGGGCCTCATTTGAACTTCGAAAATCTTTACTTTCAAAGTGCTACAAAAGGAACTACTCCCTATTCTTTCCTTCACCTGAAACAGTTCATTGAGTTTGATGTTAACTCTTATTTCTATATTTGAAACAAGTTATAATTGAGATAGGAGCTAGGATAGATGTTATATTACTTAGTACATGACTCCTCTCTTGGAGGCAACGTTGTCGACGGGTACTTGTCGGGAAATTTTCCGCACAAAATAACACAAAGATGGGGAACCTTGTAATTAAAGGAATGCCAAGTGTATATTCTATAGATCATAGTAGTTTTTGTCTTGAATACGTCCATTCGATAAGACTTGTCTAAAATTTGTTAAGTAAATGATATTGATCACCGCATTAGATTAAGAGCAGGATCTGTGAAAAAAATACTAGTGGCTGGACGCCTTTATTGCTCAGTCAGATCATCCTTTCGTTTACTGTACCACTTTTGGTAAAATTTCTGCATTATC